GGCCCAAAACAATCCACCACTTTGCAAGCCTCGCCTGAGCGCTGCGGAGCTTCTTGGAGGCTCCATCCCAGCGCCACGCGGCTTCAGGCCTCCCCCACTGCCTTACGGGACAGATAACGGCTTCCCCGCAGCTGCCACGTTCTGCATGATCCAACAGCTGCAGGGGCTTGGCTTGGGTGGGTGGGTTGGTGGGGGAACCACGTCTTGCTATGCCTAATTCGATAGTGTGGAAGGCACAATGCAAACCTTCTCTCTCTCCCCCCACAGAGCTATTGTGACCAGCTGCTTCCAGTCCAGAATCCATGTGCCAGCAGAGGGGCTTGCACCCTGGTCTTTCGCTCACCAGCTCCTCGGCCTCCACGATCAGAGGCCCCAAGGCAGGGCAAGGAGCAGCAGCTCTCCCAGGACTGCCTTGACCGTGGCAGGATTGGGAGGGCTCTACCAAGGCCTGTGTGTCATTTTTACCATGGCCCGAGTGAAGGTAAAAAGCAAGTTCTAGCTGTGACAGCTGAGCAAAAAGCAGTGTGCAGGCAGTTAGGAATTAAGAACCAAGGGCCAGAATCAAGGTGCATGCATGCACCTGATGTGCAGTCATTGCTTCTTGGAAAGGCAGAGCAGCGTAGAGAATGCAAAATAATAAATTGTATACAAAATTCTGTGCATTGTGCTGTGCATTTTGCATCCAGCTAGGTCTGTTTGGTACACAATTCAGTGTTTTTCAGGATAAAGTCAATACAACTGTAGTCACAGCTTTTCATGTTGTTCTGGGCCATGTGACATTGCAAACTTACCTGTTTGCTACACTGGATGAAAGGTGATGTCAAAACTAAATGAAAATGATAACTGAAAAGCCTGAAGCTAGAATGTGCTCAGTCCTGGGTTGTTTTGTTCCCCCGTGTGCATATTGCGCAATGGAAGGCTTGTCTGCACACAGAGCATCACCTGAAGCCTTTATTCCGGACGGCTTCACTGCATCCCGGTCCCCTTCTTGGCTGAAGACAAGATGTCCTGCACGCATCTATGGATCTGGTATCTTGCTTTGAGGCTCCCCGGTAGCCCTGATGCAAAGGGACCCTTCCTTCAGCTGACAAGTTCCACGCTGTGGAAACACGCACAGCCAGCACAACCCAAATGCCGCAAACCAAAGAAACGGTCCTTTCAATAGCCTAGAGTTGTCTATGGCCTTATGCAGTTGCTGCCTAGTCCCCTCTGAAAAGAAGCAGTGATGCTTCCGTTCTGGGGCCATGAGGCTGCAAGGCAACTTTCCTGTGGTCCAGGCGGCACCACAGAGGTTCCTCTGCACATGAGAAAGGGCGCTAGGCTCTACCGTCTACCTGGCATGGCCCGATGCAGCTCCCTGGTGCACCCATGACACTCCGCACTACACAGCTTCACACCGAAGCAAGCAGGCTTTTCCCAGGGGAAATTCAACCCCCACATAGCAGTCTAAACTTCCTGTTGTTTCTCCAATGGCCAACCGAGCATAAAACCGCAAGCTGTTTCGAAACACATGGTGGACCCGGCACACAAGGCCAAGGAATTCCTATTTCAGGGATCGCCATCCACGCCGCAGACTGTGCAGAAGCTCAAGTAGAAGAGGACATTCCTAATAGCTACAGGGTCAACCAGGGAAGGGACTGGTGGGCATCTCTGGATACCTATCTTGGCGGCTGCATGTTACCTCTGGCATCAGAGGCAGTGCACCAATGAACTCCAGTACCACGGGGGCCAGATTTGGGTGGAGGGTGCAGTTGTGCCCTGGTCCTCCTCGTGGGTCCCCCGTGGGGGGATCTGGTTGGCCACTGGGTGAAGAGAAAGCTGGACTGGACGGCTCTTGGACGGATCTGACAGGGCTCTTCTGACATTCCTCTGGTTTATTAAGATTTGCGGGTGATAAAGGAGGTGGCGAAGAGTTGCAGGAAGCCCATGAAGTCTTGCTGGCAAGCCACACGTTTTCATCCTCCCCTGCTTTCCTCTTTGCCGATTAGGCTTTTGAATGTGTAAATAAATGGGAGGTTAAAACATGTTAAATGGGTGTTTATCTCAGGGTAGCAGACTGGGTAAACAGATCGGGGTGAGATAAATGCTTAGTGATAGTTAAGAGATGAAGTATTTTGTTGCTCAGCAGAAGTTTGTGCCGAGTGTCCCGCAGAAGGTCAATTAAAAAAAGAAACACACCGGGTTTTGTGACTGGGCTGGGGAACAATGGCAGCAGGAGGGCAGCGCAGACAACTAATGCTACGCACCTTCCACTTCAATGTCTAGGAATCTGTTTGCAGAAAAAATATTCCAAATGTCAGGTAATGCCTGGCTGTCTCAGCTAAATGGGCATTAGAAAGCAAAGGCAGTGCTTAAGCAATGAGACAAATTCGGTGCTCCAAAGAACGGCTTGGCATTTCCTCCAGGGTTAGAGTTACAAGGGCTTTTATGAGGCTGGAGAATAAAGCTGATGGTGTCGCATGCGCGTATGCCCACAGTTTGCTGCTGCATGCACCCCAGATCTCAGAAAGCTTTGGTTTATACGGACCTGCTTGTCCTAAGGATTGCTCAGCCCATGGGGGATTCCTGTGCCACCCAAACCTGGGATGCAGAGAGATCGCCGTGGGTTGCAGAGGTCAGCTATGCTCAGCAAGAGGGGCAGCCTTCCTCCTGCCACTCTTTGTCAACTCGCCAGTCTCTGCCCGTGGCAGCCCTCCAACAATGCCCAAGTCGCACTCTGGTGCAACGGTTGCAGATTTGCCACCCTTTGAGAAACGCGTTCAGACCCAGACAGGTGCATAGCCGTGCTGGTGGTGGTTGTCAGCCTTCTACAAGTGTGCAAGGGGGCACCTGCGGCTGTCAGATGGGTGTCGTCTCGCCTAGTCCACGTCCAAGCAGGTTCCCTCCAGCACCTTGCTCCCTTTGGCGCTGAAACTTACTTGCAAGGGCTTTGACAAGACAGAAGGGTACACTTGGGCACTAGCGAAAGACTGACAGAAAACAAAACAATCAAACATTATGGGAACCGTTTTCTAAGACCAAAAAAAATACAGAACCGCTGCTCCCCAACAAAGGAAAGTTGGGAACAATTGGAGGAGGAGACAAGATGGGCTTTGCTGTGAAGGACACTGGGGAGCTGTCTGGAAGGGGGGGGGGGGGAACCAGCCACAATCAGCTCAATCATCTGTTGGATGCACTGTGGATTCTCCCGTTTCTCTCCAGGGTAACTCAGTACATTGCTTGAATGCAGCCAGAACATGTGAAGTGTCTTAAAAACTCAGAATGCTCTATGAATTACCACCACTACTCATAATTAACTATTTACTATTGTTATTATTGGCTGCAGATGAAAGACTGGATAAGCAAACTGCAAAAAGAAACCAAGAGACTGAAGCTGAGACTGAAGCTACAGGGCAATCCCATTCAAGTTGATCTTTCAGTGCATGACTTCCCACGTGTGAAACTCCAGAGACCAAAGCAAGAGAGGAGTTGGAATGGAGATGCCTTCAAAGCAAGCTGGACAGCAAACTAGGGCAAACGGTCAGCCAGGACCACCCCACATGGGTCAGCCATGTGATTCAGGGTTCGCTACAGCAGTCGGGCGGTTTGCAGGGCAATAGGTCAGGCCAGCCTGCATTTCAAGAACCTTCCATTTATCATGAATTTGCGAACAAGGAAAGGCACAGCGCCACTGGAATGCAAAGTTGAATGTTTGGTTAGAAAGTGTGGCGATTACGACAGGCGAGCCAAGAGGCAGGAGGGAAGCAGCTCGCCTGTTGGGGATGCTTTGATAGTTCTCAGGATGTGAACGGACTGCATGGAGGCTAAGAAGGAGAAAGGGCTGAGCGTAGGAAGAGGATGCCCCCGGCTGGCTCCCCATGCTGCCAGAATAGGGATGGTGGGGGGCCACCCCACCTCGAGAGTGGCAGCCTCAGACTAAATCTTCACAGGGGGCCACTCTAGAGACAGACCTCACAAACTGCTTCAGTTTGTCAGAGATCTGTGGGTGCAAACGGGGCACAAGGGAAGGGGATGTGGACTGGCAGGCAGGCCGAACCAGGCAAGTGAATGGACTGGCAGGGGAGAGCTACCCCGTTCTGGGCTGCTTGGCCCTCCTTCTTCTCCCAGTCTGCATGGCAGGAGGGTAGCTCTGCTTCCCCAGCCTGCTAAAAGGCCAGAACCCTCTGTGCTTTCCCAGAAGGGTTTGATTTCGCCTTTCCGTGTTAATCAGAACTGCAATCCTCCGTTATGCAATAAAGACAATACGATAAACTGCAATAAAGATAAAAAGTTGCAGTAGACAAGGTACTTCTGTGGACTTGCGGGCAAGGCTGGCCTAGGCCGCGTTCTGCATGTGCTCCAGGCTCCACGGATGGGGTGGCAGCCCCACATGGCATTGCGGGAGGACTGCCTGGTTTGGAGGAGGCCTGGCAGAGGCTGTTTGGGTGGGCAGATCCCGTGGAGAAACTTGCTGGCAATTCAGGGGGCTGTAAACCCCCCTTAGGCGCAACCTTGTGCCACATCAGGCCGGGGGAAAGTCCACAGGTCCCCCTTTAGGCCCCTTCCTGTCCAATCTGTCAGCGGAGCGTGCCCTCAAAGGTGGTAGGTTGACGGGTCTACCCGGCAGTAAACGCCCATTGCGTTCGGGCGGACATACTCCCAGGTGCAGGACTGCAGTCTTAGGGGCCGATCCTCGAGCGTTAGGCAGAAAAACGGCCTGCGGGGGGTTGTAGTGGCAGCGCTTCTCCTTGTGGTCCAGCCTTGCACGGGGCTGCGCGTTCAATCTTCCAGCCGCTCTCCGCTTTGGAAGGGAAGGCGTGGATCCGCTGCAGCGCCCAAAGCCCTCCCCGGGGAGCGCCCGCTGTGCGGCATCGAAGCAGCCCGCGGGCGCCCAAGCGAGCCCGCGGTAGGTTCCCCCTTTCGCATCGGGGAACGGCTCGCTCCGGGCGGGGGGGCGGGGCGGGGCGGGGCGAGGGGGCCAAGGTAGGCTTTGCCTCGCCCCTTGCGCCTCGGGTGAGACTCGCGTCCTTTCCCCGCAGCCAAGCTTCCCCGGCGGCTGCAGGCGCGGGCTGGGCGCTGGTGCCGATCGGGAGGTGGCCCCTCGGCGCGGCGCGGCGCAGCCTCCCCTCGCCCCCCACCCGCAGCGCCCTCCCCCCGCACCTGACGTCAGCTCCTGGGCTTCTCCTCCGAAGCGCCTGCTTGCATTCGGGCTCGGAGCTGGGCGCGGGGACAATGAGCTGCCGCCGGCTCGCGAGGTTCGCCCTGGGCTGCCTGCTGATCGCCAGCTGCTGTTGGAGAGGTGAGCGGGCGCGGCGCGCAGAAGGAAGGGCGCGGGCAGCTCGCGTTTCGCGCGAGGGTGGGCGGCTGGGGGGCCCCGCAGGCAGCCAGGAGGGTCGCCGGGCAGCAGCGCCAGGCTGGGGTCTTTCCGCGCGCTTTCGGCTCGGAGGAGGGGGTGCCGATGGGGTCTTGCCCTCACGCGTCTCCCTGCAAGCTTGGAGGCGAAGATGAGTTTGACAGGGCTGGTCCCAGGGCCGTGTGTGCCTGCGGAGGACTCGGGTTTGCGCGCGCGCCTTGTGGGGACGAAGGAGAGGTGGGCTAACTCGCCGCCGGGCGCAGTTTGCAGCGTGGGTTGCAAACGCGCGCACGCCTCTCCTGCCTTTTCGCCGCGCGCACCAGCTCCCGTGCTTTGCAACTGGTGGCTGGAGAAAAGGGGGCGCCAGACGTGTCCGCCAGGTTGGGGAGACGTCTGTGCAGGCGCGCGCGCGCGTGTAAGAGAGATTTTTTTCTCGAAAAGGAGCAAAAATCCGTTCGGCTCCGAAGCACCTCCCAGTTCTCCCCTTGCAAGTGGCGATCCCCTTTCCGCGCGCCCCCCCCCCCCGCCCGCATTTTTGATTTACTGTCTACTGTTGGAAGAGCTGGGCGTTAAATCGCCGTCGTTCTGCGAGTCGAGTCCGGGGATGGGAGTGGGAGACGGAGAAAGGCCTGCCCGGGATTCCATTTCGGGAAGGCGCTTGCCCCGTCCGCGCGGTCACGTCGAGGCGGCTTTTGTTCGGGGCGCTGGCAGGTGGGCCGGGTGGGATCGCAGCTTGCTAGCCTTGTGCTGCCATGCAGTGTTAGAGGAAAACCCTGCGGGGCTGGCAGACTCCTCACTTGGCCCTGCTGAGCGGAGACGCATTGCCGTCCGCGGGGAAACTCAGGCAGGGCTGACTTAAGCCCCGCTCATTCCAGGGGCTCTGCGTTAAGCTTGACTGGCGGCGCAGCCCCAGCGTAGCTGAACAGAAAATTTGCCCAGCATTCCCCAGTCCTTCTGCTATTCCACAACCCACCGGGGAATGCTGGGACGTGGAGGGCTTTTTGCCTGGATAACAATGCACAGGGCTGCACCCACAGCCCGGCCGCAGCCCTTCCCGGCAAACACATTTGCGTGTTGCTTGCCTTCCCTCCCCCCACCGCACCCCAGCAAGGACTTGTGCCCCAACTGCCGTAGCCAGCAGGGTGAGGAGATTAGGAATTCTGTGCTGCCCAGCTGGTAAGGCTTCCTGTGGTGGTGATTCTTCCCCAGCAGACACAGCTGGGGGAAGCGCCCACCACCCAGCCCTGTCTTAATGTGGCTGACGCACCCAACGCCTTGCCTCTCTTTGTGCGAATTCGGTTGCCTCGGGAAGGGAATACGAAGGGCCCGATGGAGAAAGGACCTAGGTAAAGTAGGGATTTAGGCTCGGAGGGGTGCCGGGGAGTGGGGAACGCCACAGTTGGCCTCTTCGGTTCTGGGAGTGTCACGCTAACATCGTGCAGTGGGGTGGGGTTGTAGATTTGCTAGGCAGGAGGACACACCTTTCAAAAGAAGGAGAAAGGGTCGATTCATAGTCCGAGAGCTGCGCAGGATGAAACACCTGCTGTGAGCACAGGTGGATTTGCTCGGCGGCCACCCTGCCCATCCAGAAACGAGGGCACTGGGGGATTCTGGGCGTGTCCAGAGCCATGTGTCTGTCTGGGAGCAGAAGCATCAGAGCCAGAAGTCACATGGCTGTCTGAGATGTTGCCGTCCGTGGTCTGGCAGCACCGTCTCCCCATGATGGTCGTGGGTGTGATTCTGCAGCTCCCACCCTTGCCGTTTCTGGGTGCTGCGGGTCAGCGCCATGTTTTAAAATGCCCTTTTAACCGCCCTCTCCAGGCCAGAGATCCACATCTTCTTTGCTCCTGCTCCACCATAATGCACAATGATAGAGATGCCAGAGGGCTGAGCGCTTCATGCCACATGACATGAATATAGGCAGGAATCTAAGATTTTAGAGCTAGAAGGCACCTTGGGGTCCACTAGTCCAGCACCCTGCTTAGTAGAGTCCAACTTGAGCAGAATCAGGCCAAGCGGCTCTCAGGGCAACCTGCTCCGCTGTCAGACCGCTCATTCGGTTAGGATGGTTCTGAGAGGCTTCCCAAAATCCGCCTCCATGCGCTCTGCTGCCGTTCCGTCTGGTCCTGCCTTTGTATCGTGTTCTCCTTTGTGTGCAGGGTGCCTTCCATTCTGTGTTCTTAAAGGTTTGTTGTTGCTTTAGGGAGAGGAGCAACAATGTTCTGTAGACAAAGAGCCACGTGTTTGTTTATTATGCATTAAAAGATTTATACTCTTCCTTTTCTGTTGAAGCACTCCTGGGTAAAAACGAAGCCAGAATTGAAAACACAGCAGGGGGCGATCCTGTGATTTCTAGGCCCGTCTGTGGGGCTTCAGATGGTTCCCAGTCGCCAGTCCCAGGGTGGAGACAGCACACTGGCCTCATGGAGCGACCCCGGAGATCTGCCCTTGCAGCTGGGGGGGGGGAGAGTCTTGCCAGCTGCCCCTTGACTTTGGAGAGGGTGAAAGGGCTGCTCCGGTGCATGGGAGGGGA